CCACCCTCCCTCCTCTCTCTCTCTCTCTCTCTCTCTCTCAACTCAATTCCAACTTATTCAATTGTCGAACGTTTCATGAATTTCTAGCAGTTTGTAAAAGTAGTTTGCATCCTTGAGATGTTATATACGCCTTACAAGGTATTTCATAGCCATAGATAAATCGTAATCCAAGATATATTCCTGTACTTGTACACGATTATACTACGACGCACGTATAAATCACCGGATTACGAGAGCCGATATTATTATTCGTCGTCGTTAACTAGGACGAAGGAAAAAGACGAGTTGGACGAGGATAAAGTTTTACGTATCTCCATCTTAGGTAGTCGAAAAAATTACATCGTATCAGTCGCGTGCAAACGTAGCAATACCCTCGTTGCGCGACGAAAATGCGCGTATCGAGCACAACACGATTGATTCGATCAGAAATCATCATTGTGGATTCATCGAGAAAAAAATCATCCATTTGGATCGATGGATTACTCCACTTTCTTTTAGAATTGGAATCACGTCGTCCCGTTGAATTGCTTGTGAAGCAGCAAAAAAATAACGGGGCCGAAACGAAAAGAGAGGAGAGCTTTCGTAAAAAAAGAAAAAAAGAAAAACGTAATAAAAGCCAAAAAGCGAAGGTTAAAATTGAAATTCGCATGCAACATGGAGAAACGATAAACGATAATGGAACGTCGTGATATTCCATATTGGCGAGGATGATGGTGGTGCATCGTTGTAAATGGCATTGTTCACCTTCCAATTCTTCGTACTTGGATGCAGAGCTGGCAGCGTACGCGGCTCCTGACGCGAAGTTTTTCAGGGAGTTGAAAAATCCGCTCATTCTCCAATTAGGAACGCCACTCTTTCTTCTTCATCGTCACTTTCACCTCATCCGCCTCTTGTTGTACGCAGTGCACCCGCCTTTCAGCCGTTCTCGTGATTCATGATCCGCCGACCTTGCGTTCATTTTCACGGGATCACGCCCGCCGCCTTCCAACCGTTGCGTACCTTCTCTCGCGCGAGACGCATTTTTATCACGTGTCTGAAATCCCGATGCCAACGTTTTACCTCGATGCGAAGAAATCGTCTCTAAAAATAACATTGGCCGGCGTTACGCGTTTCGTATCTCGAGGGAAGCGCCGCTCTCCTTCGAGATAACACGCTGTTGCGGTCGGACAGGCTGGTTGTTGTACGTCATGGTTGTCGGTCGGTTTGAAAAGTCGACGCACCAAGTTGAATTACGAATTAAAACCGCGATTTCATATGTATCGCAGCCTATATACGAGTATGGAACCGAGTATGGATACATCCTTTATTTATTCACGCCCGTGAATGTTCTCTTATTATTATTGGCCAACCTTCGAACCAACGATCGAACGATTTTTAATGCGTTCAGATTCAGTGCGACGAGAGAAATTTCTTTGATTACGCCCACGAACGTTCGTCCGCCTGTTAATAACAGTGAATGGAGAGAACACGTTGTGTTCGTGTGCGGTGCACATGGATATAGATGTAGAAATTTTTTCGCATCTATCGTGCGTGCGAGAATTGTCGAGAAAAGTGTCGATTCGTGTAATTCTTCGATGGAATAATTTTGATAATTTTAAAATTAAAAAATACTTCTTAAAAGAGGGAAATCTAGGTGGATAGATCTCTTGTAGATTCTATCACGTCTGCATCAAGTATACCACCTGTTACAAAGCGGTTAATGCGGATGCATCGACGATAGTATGTCACGTAATAATACACGCGCTCGATTCGAGGAAGAAGTTTGCGCGAATATACTTGGACGAAATCGATTGGTTATCAGTGTTTCAATTGAAAGCGTGTGACGCACGAAGAATAACGTATACGTATCAAATCCCCCGACCTTTCGAACGAGAATCTTTTCGTCGTCGATCGTAAAAGATCAATTCGAAAGAAATGAAAATCGTCGAACGAGTTTGTAAACTAAGATGTATCGATGGGTCTCGATAAATTTGAAAAATTAGAAAATTTAAAGTAAATCATAGTAAAAAATCGGAACTATGATAATTCGAACAGACTTTCACCGTTACGTAAGTCTGAATAAGATAAAGGCATTCTTAACTTCCAATATTAAAATACAATATCGAACAATGGGAAGAAAGGAAATAAAAAATTAACGTTGCGAAGCGATTGTTAAAATTACGATCAAGAAAAAAAAACTAGAAAACAAATGATTGCATATGGTTGCTACGCACCCCACGAACTCTGTCACGAATACGCACGCACGCAAGCACGTTCGACGCGTAGGAATCGTAACGCGAAATTAACACCACGTCGAACACTACATCGAACGTTTTCCATTTATCCTAATCCTATCCAGCCTGGTTGTTATATACCCACACATCGATTTTCCCAACCGCTCTTTTATTTCCACCCCCGTGTTGTACGAGATTCTCTCTCCCACCGAATAGAATCTTCCAACCAGAACAACGTACTTTACGCTTACATCTTTCTTTATGTTTCTGTCCCTCCTATATATATATATATTTCCTGCTCGCGCGTACTAAAAATCGCACGAAGAGAGAAGGAACGAACGAACGGTTCGATAAACGAACCGTATATAACCCATCGCGGTCAAGGAAGCTAGCAAAACACATCCCCCTAGCGAGAGAACCACCCGTCTTACCATTGTCATTGCGCGAATCGACGACGTGAACGTGAAGCGGACTGGTTGTCCCCAGGAAAACCGCACGTCGTCGTGTTACCTCGCATCATCTGTCCTCGTGTCACCGAGCACACACGCACACGCGTTCGAAC